AACAATGAATGAATGAAAACCCAAAATCTCTGTAAATGTTCATTAAAACTAATAAAATTTAATTAAAAAAATAAAAGTCTTAATATTTTTTAAGTTTGTTTGGGTTGACAGCATTTCATGGGCTAGAGACAGCACAAAGATTAGACATAGAAGTGCTCTCCTGGCCATCAAATCCCTACTGCCTCCTGTAGATCAAAGTTGTTACGTGCTCTTGAGTTGCCTGTGACTCATATCCACCTTATATACAACAGCCCTAAACCCTGCTCTATCCTGTGCCAATCTCACTGTCTCTGACACACCTACCTCCATTACTCCAGTCACTGATTCAATCCACCTCATAGATGGTCTTCCCCTCCTGTGATCCCAAGCATGGCATCCCTCTCCAAGGACTCACCCTCCTTGCAACTCCAAGGACTCACCCTCCTTGCAACATGTCCAAAGTATGTCAGATAAAGCTTCAGAATATATGCCTCCAAGGAGCAGCCTAGCTTTACTCTCTCCAGAACGAAATTGTTTATTCTCCTAGAAGTCCATGGTATATTCAATACTCTTCTCCAGCACCACAGCTCAAGATCATCAATTTTCTTTCTATCATCCATAGTCATTGTCCAGCTTTCTGATGCATAGCAATTGCAAAGACTCTGGCCTGTATCAGGCACACCTTAGTCTCCAGACTGACATCATTGCTCTTCAGTACTTTGGAAAAGTCTCTGACAGCAGACTTTCCCCCAAAAAATACATATTTTAATGTCCTGGTGCCTAGAGTGTTGATTGTGGAGCCAAGCAAACTAAAGCTGTTAATAATCTCAACCTCTTCACCATTAATCATGATGCTTCCAATTGACCCAGTGGTAAGAATCTTTGTGTTCTTGATTTTGAGCCTCAATCCATGTTGAAGACTGCAGTCCTTGATCTTCTGCAGCAAGAGCTACAGGTCCTCAGTTTTGGCAAGCAGGATTGTGTCATCTGCATAATGCAGATTACTAATGAATCTCCCTCCAATCCTGATGCCACATTTCTCCTCATATAGCCCAGCCTCACAGATAATCTGTTCTGCATATAAACTGAAAAGGTATGGAGATAGGTCACATCCCTGGCGTACACCCTTCCCAATTTTGAACCACGCAGTGTTTCCTTCCTCTGTTCTGATGACTGCCTCTTGGTCCAAGTATAAGATTTGCATTAGCACAATCAAGTGTTCTGGGATTCCCATTCTTCTCAGAGTTAACCACATTTTGTTGTGATCCACACAGTCAAACGCCCTTGCATAATCAATGAAACACAGATAGACATTCCTCTGGTACTCCCTGTTTTCCACCAAGATCCATCTAACATTAGCTATAATATCCTTAGTACCACGACCCCTTTACACCCAGCCTGCACTTCTGACAGTTCTCTGTTAATGTGCTGTTTCAGTCATTTTTGGATAATCATCAGCAGAATCTTGTTTGCATGTGATATTAATGATATTGTTAGATAATTTCCACACTCTGTTGGATCACCTTTCAATTCTTGGGGGTAATTGCTATTTCATAGTAACAAGAGACAGATTTCAAAAAAATGTTACTGTGTAAAAGTGTGATCACAGCTGAATTTTTGTCCCTATTTCTGCTGTTTTAAAATTATTTACTCCAAATTTAATATTTCATTCACTTCTAAGTCAAATCCAATGTATTCTTTCTTACCTATTTCTCTTCTGTATATGAAAGGATGTTGGCAAAAATCATATCATTGAGGGAATTTGATATTCTTATTGGATCTAGCAGTGGTTGGGTCCTCAAGTGTAGGAGGGAGATGGGGAATATTGTATGTCCTTGATTTAGGCCTCTGATAATGGGGATCTGTTAGTAGTACAGGCAGCCTTTTTTTTTTTTTTCAGATTTCGTCTTCATTCTAAGAACATGATGTTAACTTGGTCTGATTTTCTGAGTCTCTAGACTTTAATTTTCTTTTTTAGTCTGAACATTTCAATACAACTTACTTGATGCTATCAAATATCACTTTTTGAGTTTAAGTCTTTACAGTGACAGAATGTTTAAAATGCTTGAATATTTATGAGGTTATTGTGTACCATTGACCCACAGTTTACCCTCTGAGGGGTTTTCAGAGGCAGTTAATAGCAAAGAAGGAGATTACGCATCTCTCTTGATAGCCAAAAATATTGTGAAAGTGGAAATATAGTTTTCAAAACAAAGAGGAAGTTGAAAATGTTAATGCACAGTTTAACAGCTATACTACTAAAAATATATATTTTCTACTAATATTTTTT